TATAGAACTTTTCCAACATCTGAGAAACTTACTTCTGCTTCTTCACAAGTCAATCCCCATTGACACTCCTCGCCCCAAGCAACCAGTCATCTGCTTTCTGCCACCATGTATTGGAATTGTCTTTCCTAATTTACCATATAAGTGGAATCATACAGTATGTGCTCTTTTATTTTTTATTTTTTTAAAGATTTTATTTATTTGACAGAGAGAGCAAAAGCAGGGGAAGCGGCAGGCAGAGGGAGAGGGAGAAGCAGGCTCCCCGCTGAGCAGGGAGCCCAATGAGGAGCTCGATCCCAGGACCCTGGGACCATGACCTGAGCCGAAGGTAGATGCCTAACTGACTGAGCCACCCAGGTGCCCCAGTATGTGCTCTCTTAAATCTGGCTTCTTTTCATTCAGCATAATGTTTGTTGAGATTCATCATGTTGTTGCATATATTTGTGGTCCATTCTTTTGATTACTGAATAGTGTTCATTATATGGATATACCATAATTTGTGATTCCATTCAGCTGTTAATGGACGTTTGAGATGTTTCCAGTCTTCAGTTATTAGGAATAAAGCTGCCATGAACATTTGTGTGTAAGTCTTTGCATAGACATACATTTTCATTTTTCTTGGGTGCCCCTAAGAGAGCAATTGCTGGATCCTGTACTAAGTATATGATTAACTTTATAAGAAACTATCTAAGGGGTGCCTGGGTGGCTCAGTCGGTAAGTGTCTGCCTTCTGCTCAGGTCATGATCTCAGGGTCCCGGGATCGAGCCCCACATTGGGCTCACTGCTCAGTGGGAAGTCTGTTTCTCCTTCTGCCCCTCCCCCCACTCGTGCAAGCTCTCTCTCTCTCTCAAATAACTAAATAAATAAAATCTTTAAAAGAAAAAGAAACTATCCAAGTATTTTACACAGTGGTTGTTATCACTTTACATTCCCACAAGTGATATTACTCCAAACACATTATCATCATTAATTCTAGCCATTCTTGTAAGTACATGCATACTGGCTTTTGCCCTGAAGACATTTGCCCAAATCCTAAACTACAGAGCTTAGGGAAGGAAGACACAAAATACAAGAGAAAGCCAATAGGCTCACAGGCTAAAAAGCTAAGCTGAGCCCAGATGTGGTCTCCAAATACAATTTTCCATGAAATGAGTCTATGGCTCCTTGGGGAAGTGCTTTCTAGATCTAAGACAGGAAGTGTCTGTCCTCACATCAATATCTGTGTCAAGGTTTGAAACAGAATAGAGAATGTATATAGATGGTAAATATGCAATGTAAAGATGCTCAGTGTCGTCAGTCATCAGGGAAATGCATTTAAAACCACTGGATCAGTTTGGATCGTTTAGGTTATGCTACAATAAAAACAAAACCCCCAACGTCTTGATAGTTTACAACAAAGATTGATTTCTTACTGTTTAGTAAGCTACAAAGAATGTCGCATCTATCTTAGAAAAAAAATGGATGATCTACAAAATTATAACTTTTCTTGAGAATCTCAGAGAACTGAGGTCCCAAGGCAACCAAGTGACCTGAGTTCCAAAAAGGACAGATAGGGCACAACACAGTTCACTTTGGCAGAATGTGGCTGAAAATGGCGGCCACCATACAAGTGGTGGAGAGAAAAGCAACTAAGGTTTTGGCAAAGGATTAAAGGCAAAATGTGGGCTACCATGTCGGTGTGGAATAGCTGGAGTTCCCGGGCACAAGAGGTGGTCCCACGCCCTCATAAGCTCCTTCCCACAGGTGAGAGAAATCGGGGGTAGGGCAGCAGACTGAAGAGTGCCACTTCTTGCCAAGGCAGGAGTAAAGGAGGTGGTTGATGGCCGCCAGGAGATGAATATAAGGCCTCAACTACTTCCCTGGGGAAGTAGCAAAACCAACTGCCTTCAAAGCAGAAGCTTTGTGCTGTTGGGAGAGGGGAACAAAACCCCTCCCTCCCAGGGCCCGGGTAAAGATCTCCTGCTCCTACCCTAGGACAAGGACGGGAAAGATCCTTCGTCTTTTTGTGTAGTTACTCAGGGACTTAGGCTGACAGAGCACCAGCATCTTGAGTGTTACCAATTACCATGGCATTGGGAAAGAGAGTTCTGATATTCTGGGAGTTGTTACAGTACTTAGCAGCACTCACTCTAACTGCTACACTGGGAAAATGCCCTTAAATAGGACAAGTGTTCTTCTCCCTCCCCTCAGCACCAGTGGATCTTTCCCTTTGTGGCTCCTGGTGAGTTCTGAGGGCACCTGCACCTAAATTCCTCATATGACATTATTTTTAATGTTGTATACAGTTAATACTCATTTAGGTTTACTCACACCCAGTGTGGGACCAATTTCTGGTGCTCTTCTTTCCTTCCTGAATTTCTGTATTTCTGTATGGGATTGTTTTTCTGTGCCTGAAGAAGTCCCTTATGGGTGTTATTTTTCACAGTTTTTGTGTGTTTGGATTTAGTTTGCTAATGTTTTATTTAGAATTATTGCATTTATGTTCACGAGTGAGATTTGTAACTTGCCTTTCTTATACTGATCTTGCCATGTGTTGATATCAAGATTATGTTAGACACATAAAATGAGTTCAAGAGTTTCCTCTCTTTACGATTCTCTAGAAGAATAATAAAGCATGCTGTATACTTTTTTTTTTTTTTAAGTAAACTGTATGTCCAACGTGGGACTGGAACTCACAACCCTAAGATCAAGAATCATGCACTTTACCGACTGAGCCAGCCAGGCACCATGCATGTTGTACATTTTAAACTTACATAATGTTGTATGTCAATTATATCTCAATAAAGCTGGAAAAAGAATTGTAAAATAACTAATTTAAAAAGTATATTGATTACAAATTGAAATGATAACATTTCAGACACAGGGTTAAATGTTATCAAAATTAATTTCACTTCGGTGCACCTGAGTGGCTCAGTCAGTTAAGCATCGTACTCTTGGTTTCAGCTCAGGTCATGATCTCGGGCTCATGAGATTTTGAGATCAAGCCACTCGATGGGCTCTGCGCTGGGCTCAGAGTCTGTTTGGGATTCTCTGCCTCTCCCCTGTCCCTCCCCTTGTGCATGTTCTCTAAACAAACAAATGGATAAAATCTTAAAAAATAATATTTTCACTTCTTTCTTTTCTTTTCTTCTTTCTTTAAGTAGGCCTCCACTCTATGGAGCCCAACACCAGGCTTGAACTCATGACCCTGAGATCAAGATCTGAGCTGAAATCAAGAGTCACACACTTAGCTGACTGAATCACCCAGGTGCCCCCCTTTTTACTTTTTTTAAAAAATGTGGCTACTAGAAAATTTCAAATTACATATGTGACTCATATCTGTGGCTCACAGTGTGTATTTATTGGACAGACCTAATTTAGCCTTTTTTTTTAAGATTTTATTTTCAAGTAATTTCTACACCCAGTGTGGGACCAAACCCACAATCCCAAGATCGAGAGTCACGTGCTCTGCCAACTGAGCCAGCCAGGCACCCAGAGAGTTGTGTATAGTACTCTTATATGTATTTTAATCTCTTCCCTATCAGTAATTGTCTCCTTCCTCGTTCTCAATTTTAAAAATCTTTCTCCTTATCACACTTGCCAAAAGTTTTATCTGTTTTTTATTGGTCTTTTCCTAAAACCTGCCTTCACACTAGATCTAACTACAAGTTTATAGGAAATATGGGAGACAGAGGGACGTGTTAACACATTGGAGATAAAATCTGCAAAAACCAGAATGTTTTCCTCTACATGACAATCTGGATTACTCAACAAATAAATTGCAAGAAAAAGAAAGATAGAAAGGACGAACCTGAAGATATTAAGAAACAGTCTAAATGTAACACTTAGATCTGTTTGGTTTCCTGACAAATAATCTATTAAAAATTTAAAGAAACAATCAGGGAGGGCCCCTGGGTGGCTCAGTCGTTAAGCGTCTGCCTTCGGCTCAGGTCATGATCCCAGGATCCTGGGATCGAGCCCCACGTCGGGCTCCCTGCTCTGCGGGAAGCCTGCTTCTCCCTCTCCCACTCTCCCTGCTTGTGTTCCCTCTCTCGCTGTGTCTCTCTCTGTCAAATAAATAAATAAAATCTTAAAAAATAAATAAATAAAAGAAACAATCAGGGAAATTTGAATGCTGAGTGAATATTTAATGACATTAAGGCATGATATTGAGTTTTAGGTAAAGTATTGGTAGGTAATCATGTTAAAAAGGCTATTTTAGTACTTTTTCATATATTTTTCAATTTTTCTTGTTTTCTAATAAATGCATTTAGGTTATAAATACTTCTCGGAGAAGCACTTTGGCCACATAACACAGGTTTCATGTGTAAGGAGAGAGTGTTCTCACATTCATTTCTTTCCTTTTTTTTTTTTTAAGATTTTATTTATTTATTTGAGAGAGAGAGCATGAGCAGGGGGAAGAGACAGAGGGAGAGGGAGCAGCAGATTCCCCGGTAAGCAGGGAGCCCGACGCAGGACACGATCCCAGGACCCTGAGACCACGACCTGAGCCCAAGGCAGACGCCCAACCGACTGAGCCACCCCGGCGCCCCTCACATTCATTTCTAAACGGTCTGTGAGTTCAGTTTAGAACTGGTTACATTGTAGCGGCAGGGGAATAATCAAGCTAACAAGAGACTTAAGACAACAAATCCTGATGGGGTGCCTAAGTGGCTCAGTTGGTTAAGCGTCTGACTCTTGGTTTCAGCTCAGCTCAGGATCTCAGTGTCGTGAGATGGAGTCCCATATTGGGCCCTGTGCTCAGCGGGGAGTCTGCTTGAGATTCTTTCTCTCCCTCTGGCCTACCCCATGCATGCTTTCTCTCTCAGTAAATTAAATTAAAAAAAAAAAAAAAAAAGACAACAGATCCTGACAGCAAGGCCAGAGGGCTGGGAGGAAGCAATTTCAGTTTCTTACTGGCTACTTCCCATGATGTTGCTGCCTAGGGAGGCCTTTGCTACCCGAGCCTCTCTGTGTCCAACATTCTAGTTCCAAGGCAGAACTCTCTTCTGTTCCAGGTCGCCAGAGCCTTCAGCCTAATGAGCGCCACGATGAAACTGAAGCAAGGATCGTTTCTGTGGTACCTCTATCTGGACAAGCTGTACTGCCTGTTATCCGTGAGGAACGTGAAGGCCTTGCTGGAGTATTTTCACCTTCTTGACGTCCACCACAACAACACCTTGAATGGTCAGTGAGTTCAGCAGGACTTCCTCTGAGTTGTTACCTGGCTTTTAACTAATGTGCAGGGAAACTCGCAGAACCAGAAACTGCCTTACTAACAAATATGTATTTTATCTTCTAAATGAAGCTAGAGAAATCGCGCAGTTGAGTGAGGAAGGGAAGGCCACTAGGCTCGGGGGGTGGGGGGGGAGCCCCTGGTGCCCTTTGGTGACTTGGAGAGTGTGTCATCATCCTCTTTAAGGGTCATTTTCCTCATCCATAAATGAAGCTTCTCATAATAGAGCCCACCTCATGGTTGGGGGGGAAAAAGATAATGAAATAAGATAATGTGTGGAAAATGGTTAACACAATGCCTGGCACATGGTAAGAACTTACTAAGTGTTTGTTATTATTATAATTATTCCTGGAGGCTGAGCCCCATTCAGGCACTAACCCTTGAAGACCCCCTAACAAGATTTCTCATCTGTCAAGTGGGAGGTTTGAATCAATGATCCACAGGATCCCTTCTAATTTTTGGTACTTGAGAGTAACCAAAAAGTGTTCATCATCTTGACTCTGCCTTTGAATGCACAAACTAATGGAAGACCAATTAAAATACTTTAGGCTTTTTTGGGTTTGTTTTGTTTTGAAGGACTGGGTATAAATAAAGTATCCTATCCATTCATTGTGATCTGAAGGAAATTGGTGTCATTTGTGAATAAGGTGTGTCTTCCATAAAGATTCTTTTTTAAAGATTTATTTATTTGAGAGAGAGAGAGAGAAAGAAGGAGAGAAGGAGCGGGGAGGGGGGGGCAGAGGGAGAGGGAGAGAGAGAATCTCAGGCAGAATCCCCGCTGAGCATGGAGCCAGACTTGGGGCTTGAGTGGGGCTTGATCACAAGACCCTGAGATCACGACCGGAGCCAAAATCAAGAGTTGGACACTCAACCGACTGCGCTCCCCAGGCACCCCTTCCGTAAAGATTTTTGAGAGCCTTTGCAATCTTTACAAAATGATAAAAGACACCTTTGTTTTCTCAAAATTTCATGCCTCAGTTTTTCTCTTTACATATAGATTCACACACAATGTCACCAAATCTTTGCAATAGCACAGACCTAGATGAGGCAACTGTAAGGGCACCCGGCTGTAAACAGAAAAGCTGGGACAAACCCAGGGCTTCCTGACTCCAAAGCCTACACTCATGGTCTCACCAGAATGTTTGCTGAGAAGTCTGGTCTCCCTAGTAACTAAATCACTCTGCGATGATGCAAAGCCTGAGAGGTAAAGTCATGCTCCTGTGTTCTGGTCACCAAGGGACTGGGTAGTGCCATGAGAGAGTGAAGACACAGCCTTAAGTTTTGCCTTCAAGGAGGCAGTGACTTAAGGCTTTGGAAACTTGAGTGGGCCAGAACCAGTATTTGCTAAGTAGCTACTAAGTCCCATACTGCAACATTTCTCAAGGAGCAACTACACAAAGGTCATTGTTATATATAATGTGTTGTTCCCACGTGTTCATAACTAGTGGGGCATAGGGAAGGAAAGACTGTGTCAGACGGACATCTGAATCCCAGCTCTGCCACCTCCAGTGGGGTCCACCAGCCAGCAGCAGCGATGTCCACAACATCGCAAGGAGCTTGTGAGAAATGTAGACTCAGTCTGACACCGGGTTTCATGAATCAGAATCTGTATTTTTACAAGATTCTCAAGTGAATGGTATGCCCATTACAGTCAGAGAAGCACTGAAATAGACCAGTTACTATCTGAGGCTTAGTATAAAAGGGTGTGATGCCACTTTCCCTGGAGGGGGGTTGGGGTTCAGTGAAACGCGGCAGCTAAAGCACCTAGCCCCTAAAGTGCTCCATGATTGCTCCTTTCCCCCATCGCCAAATGCATGTGCTTCACATAAGCATGAGGAGTACTGATACTTTTATAGGAATGATTTTTAAATTTCTCCTGTTTTCATGATCGCAAGTGAAAGACCCAAGTGAGATTCAGCTTCTCCAAGAAAGTGTCCAAGGTCCCCGGTGAGAACTCAGCTCTTCCATGTCTGAGGAGTACTGGGTGCCTGTTATTGCTTAAGGACACACCTCTGTGTCAATAACCGAGCCCAACCCCCAGTCTCATCCTCCACAGATCTGGGCCCAGGGCCTTGTCACACGGCTCCAGGGCAAGTAAGGTTTGAGGAATTGTGGAAGGGACGGTGACGAAGTGAGACACCAAGTGTTACCATGGCTATTTCGGCTCAGCAAGCTTCTGGCACTGCTGCCGTTTATGTGGCCCCTGCTTGTTCGGCATCTGGAACGGTCTCAGAATAATCCATCTCTTCGCCTCCCCACCTTAACAGATGTGCTGTTCTATCACTTCCTTCACCACGTGACCAGCTGGAAGCGGACACAGATCATGACTGTGTTTAACATGCTGGACTGGAACGCTATGGGCGAGATCGGCTTTGACCAGTTCTACATGTTGGTCTGCATCCTGCTAGCACAACAGGCGAGTAACAAGTCAGGATCTGGGGCAGAGGAGGCAGAGTGTGGCTGCCGCCACCATCCTGCTAAAGGTAGCCGTGAACTAAGACGGCATCAGAGTTGTCTTCCTTTCAGTCAAAACAGGAAGGGAAGAAAATGGGGAGACAACTACCTGTGGCTCCTAAACGGTCTGTCTATAACCTAGACATTTGCAGGCCACCCAGCCTCACTCCCCCTGCTGCCCATCTTCAGCCCTCCCGCATCCTCTTTCTGTAGATCTCACCCCATTGCTTTCCTCCTTGGCATGCCCTTCCTTGCCCTTCTTAAAGAGCCACCAGGAATCCCAAGTGCCTCCCTCTCTCAGTGATCACTTTTCTCAGAGAATTTTCTGAAGGGGATGGAGGATGGAGATGAGAAACTTTCTTCTTTGGGTTCCTACCTTACCCTATGCACACTTCCATTGTGTATTTGCCTACTTCCCACTTGGAAAGGAAGCTTGTCTTCAGGATCTTATCACCTTACCATGATGTTTCACAAGTAGATTCTCACCAAATATAAGGAAATGTGTTCTAGTGACAGGGTTCTGTCTAGCAGAATTGATCACAACAGGTGGCTTAAGTTCCCCTCAAATACAGATGCTGAAGCAGGACTTGATACATTAACCATAGAAGGCTTTCAACCCTGAGCTTCTAGGATTTTGCCTTTCGCTTTTAGCTCTCTAGGAAATGGATGTGAATATACTAGTCTTGATGCAGCCCAAGTTTTTAAAATTTTTTTTCTTTAAAGATTTTATTTATTTATTTGACAGAGAGAGACACAGCGAGAGAGGGAACACAAGCAGGGGGAGTGGGAGAGGGAGAAGCAGGCTTCCCGCGGAGCAGGGAGCCCGATATGGGGTTCGATCCCAGGCCCTGGGATTATGACCTGAGCTGAAGGCAGATGCTTAACGACTGAGCCACCCAGGTGCCCAAACTAATTTTTTTTCAAGATTTTTATCTATCCATTTGACAGAGAGAGAGTGCACAAGCAGAGGGAGAGGCAGAGGCAGAGGGAGAAGCAGGCTCCCTGCAGAGCAAGGAGCCCGATGTGGGGCTTGATCCCAGGACCCTGGGATCATGACCTGAGCCAAATGCAGACGCTTAACCGATTGAGCCACCCAGGTGTCCCATGCAGCCCAAGTTTAGAAAGTAGCACCAACAACACTGTTCCTTGTATGATGTATTTTTCTCAGTAGAACCACTTGGAAGAGCAATTTATCTTCCGCCATTCCCGGCCTGTCTTTGAGCTGCTTGACCTGGAGGGGGAGCTGAGAATTGGTGCAGAGAACTTCCACATGTACAACTTTCTCTTCAATATTAAGAAACAGGACCTCAGAGAGCTCTACCATGACTTTGACATCACAGGTGACCGTGTAAGTGCAGATTCCTTAAGTGTGACCTGGCAGCCTCTCTGTCCAAAGGCAGAGATAATGTCCTACTCCCTACTGTAGACACGGGTGGGGAAAACCTGCTTGAGCATGTCATGGCACTGGGATCGGAAAAAACTGAAGAGATTTATAGGCCTGTGAAGAGAGAGGACTAAGCGTTATATCATATAATATGGATGCAAAATTACAGAAGCTTAGAGAAGAAAATTTTGTTTAGAAGTTTAGAGAAGGAAATATATTAATATGGCAGGAGTTGACATTGGGGGAAGGGTTTATAGATTTAAGTATAGAAAGGAGGAAAAGTCTAGATGGGAACACATGAGAAAATCCTAAGAGAAAACAACTCTGGTGAAGACCCTGGATTCTGCCTATTTATTTATTAAGATTATTTATTTATTTATTTGAGAGAGAGAGAGAAACAGCATGAAAGGGGAGAGGGTCAGAGGGATAAGCAGGCTCCCCGCTGAGCTGGGAGCCCGATGCGGGACTCGATCCCAGGACTCCGGGATCGCGACCTGAGCCAAAGGCAGTCGCTCAACCAACTGAGCCACCCAGGCGCCCTGGATTCTGCCTATTTAAAGAGGAAGTCGGGCGCCTGGGTGGCTCAGATGGTTAAGCGTCTGTCTTTGGCTCAGGTCATGATCCCAGCATCCCGGGATCGAGTCCCGCATCGGGCTCCCTGCTCAGCGGGGAGCCTGCTTCTCCCTCTGCCTCTCTCTCTCTCATGAATAAATAAAAATCTTGAAAAAAAAAAAAAAAAGAGGAAGTCTATGGGGCACCTGGCTGGCTCAGGTGGTGGAGCACAGGACTCTTAATCTCAGGGTTGTGAGTTCAAGCCCCACATTGGGCATAGAGCCTACTTAAAAAAAATTTTTTTAATTAAAAAAAAAAGAGGAAGTCTATGTTGGGGAAGCAAGTGGGAGCTAAGGTTGAAAAAGATGGATCATACTATGCAGAACCTCAGGTGCCAGCCTGAAGCGTCTAGAGCGGACACAGCAGAAGTAAGAAAGTGACCCATGGTTGCTTTAGAGTCTACAATAGACCCTCTGTTCCCAGCTCCTAGACTACAATCAGACTATAATTATGTCCTAATTACTGAGCCTCTTCAAGTTTCCAAGTTTTTAAATGGGAAATGATTACAATCCTGCTGTCATCTGAAACAAAGTATCAAATCCTTCCTGAAATAATTTTTCTTTCTTTCCCCCAACAAAAGCGTCTTAATTACAAGGAATTTAAGCTGTTTACTATCTTCACCATGGACAAATACCAGGAGAGGCAGAAAGCAGAGAAAGAGAAAGAGAAAGAGAAAAAGGATCTGCTCAAAAAGAAAAGGCTACATCACGTTAATGTGAGCCTCAAACAGTTTCTTGGAATAAATGTATCTGAAAGTAGACTATAAGTAATCACAACTGTTAACATGTCTAAAAATAAATTTAGAAAACCTAAGTGGATATTTTTACATTGGCTTTCACACATGAAAGGTTCAAGTAAGTGCTCTTCGATCAGCAGGTTCTTAACTTAACTTACTGACCTCACGATAATATGATGTGAAGTAATCACTTTCTCTGTGGACATGTCTCAATTCTGCTGCTGCTTTTCCGATCAACACTATTCATAAGTATATCCAAATAATTACAAACACTGTCTGGAGCTAAACAGCTGAAAGACAGTGATGCTTTCCCACTATTTGTCACTAGTGGTCTAACACGCTCAGAATCCTGTCTATTCTCTCAATCCTTAAGCTAAAATCACCTGTATGCAAGACACTGCAAATTGGCAAATGGTGAAGTGCCTCTACCTATAAGGGAAACAGACTTTTAGGGATATGGGAGCTGTGTTCTTCCTAGGGCCTGAATTACAAAGTTAGGTGCTCAAGCAACTGTACAAATCTGCTAGAGTAGAATAATTATTAATGCCCTTGTATAATTTCAATTTTGTGTAATTAATGTCTTGAATAATTTTCAAAGTTTTTAGCATGGGACTTGTGACTCCTCCCTACCTGTCTATACTGTGATAGTAAGGGTGGTAACTACCACTGAGTAAGTGCTTGCGATGGGTTAGGCAGGTGCTTTAGATGCATGAAGTTATTTATACTCATAACCCTGTGAATCAAGTATTATCCAGAATTTACAGGTGAAGAAATTGAGGCCCAGAGAAATTAAGAACCTTTCCCTAAAATATATGGCATACCAGTGGTAGGACCATGATTCAAATTCAAGGTCAATTTGATTCCCAGGCTCAGAGCAAGTGATCTGAGTAACTCACTTCAGTTTTAGCAAATTCTGCTTAAGTTTCAAGCCAGTATTTTACTGGCTCAGAAATCCTTTCTGCATAATGCTGATTACCACATCTCCTTCTACCATAAACTTCTGAGGAACAAGTTTGGCAATTAAAGAGGTACAGCTCATTTACTATAAACCAAGAATTTCTTAAGGATCAGTTATGCAATATGACTGCCCAGAAGGCATTCAGAGTTCCAGGGTTACCTAAAAACCAACAAAAATCACTGTCAATGTGCAACAGAAAAGAATGCTGCTTATCTAAGATTGTTGTTCATAAGTCAAACTTGTAAGAACAGAAATCATGTTCATTACTATGAACACTCTATATTTAAGACACAAAGCACCTCAGAACAGTGCTCCTCTCCTCCTCTTATTCGGTGAAAAGTTTGCAGCCGTTCTCTAAGGAGAATACCCTCTGGCAAACAAGTGCGGACACTACTACACCTACACAGAGTACTGAACTGAGAGACTAGTATTCTCTGGCTGGAAGATGACAGTTGGAAATCCATCATCCTTTCAAAGGGCCTCGCCATTAAGCTTATCTTGGGATAGGTTTCTGCCTCTTTTCTGGAATCCTAGATGGCTTTTGCTGGCAGACACCCTAAGATCTACACATAGTTCTGGGAGGAGAAACTATAACAAGGTCTTAGAAAGGCTTCTCTTTCCCATTTTCCAAGGGCAACACTACTGAGACATAAAAAGTAACTATGGCATGTATGTTTTTTACAGACACCGTCTCTAAAGCAATGAAGATACTGTACCTTTTATTGCTTCAGAATGGGGCAGGGGGGGAGGGAAAGTCGAAGATAATAAGTAGCATAGGTTATAATTCTGACAAATTTTAAACTAAACTTTAAAATAATTTATTCAATTCGTTTATTTCAACTTAATTTAAAATGAACATCAAATGACTAAAGTTTTAGGAATGAGTTTCCCCTCCTCCCTGGAAATCATCAGGGTGACTATAAAAGGTATCGTGGTCCAACTATCAAATTTTTGAAAATCCTTTTAAGAGCATTTTCAGGGGCACCTGGCTGGCTCAGTCAGTTGAGCATCTGACTCTTGATTTTGGCTGGGATCATGAGCTTCAGGTCCTGGGATTGAGCCCCCTGTCCTGTCAGGCTCCACGCTCAGCGGGGAGTACGCTTGAGGATTCTTTTTCCCTCCCTCTACCCTTCCCCCTGCTCTGCTCTCTCTCTAAAATAAATGGATTAAAAAAATAAAAAAAAGGAGCATTTTCATAAACTGGGCAGCTCTAGAATGGACTCAGGAAACTGAGCGTTTAGTTTGGATGGGCACAAACTGAAACTGTAAAAACTAAAATTCAATAGCATGTATAAAGTGACATTGTTTTAGGACTAGAAGTACAACAAAGAAAACAATGTCAATGTCTACGTCGGGACTTTTTTCCTCAATTACATTACGGGATTTAACGTTTTTTTTTTTTTTTTTAAAGATTTTATTTATTTATTTGAGACAGAGAGCATGAGAGGGGGGAGGGTCAGAGGGAGAAGCAGACCCCCTGCCGAGCAGGGAGCCTGATGTGGGACTCGATCCAGGGACTCCAGGATCGTGACCTGAGCCGAAGGCAGTCGCTTAACAAACCGAGCCACCCAGGCGCCCCTGTCATTATTACTTTAAATACTGCTTTTGTTCCTCTTTTCTTTTCCTTCTGATATTCTAATTATGTGCATGCTATATCTTTTGTAGTTACACTGCAATTCTTAAATATTGTTCTTTTTTATTTTTTACTTTTTATTTTTTTTAAGATTTTATTTATTTATTTGAGAGAGCGAGAATGAGAGAGAGTACATGAGTGGGGGGAGGGCCAGAGGGAGAAGCAGGCTCCTCGCTGAGCAGGGAGCCCGATGCGGAACTCGATCCCGGGACTCCAGGATCATGACCTGAGCCGAAGGCAGTCGCTCAACCAACCGAGCCACCCAGGCGCCCAAGGGATTTAACGTTTAAAAAAATGTGTTTGTAGGTATGCGTGTAGATGTTTCAATTAAGTTTCATCATTTCAACAGTGAGTTAATCCACTGTGCTCTCAAGGTAGAGCTCAGACAGACCAAGTACATTTAGGTGTTTTTTGGATGGTGGTAACACTCTATGGTATCACTATGTCATAGTTACATTAGAATGACTTGGTCAGCAAAGCGCGCCCTTGTTCAGTGGCAGAAGCAATGGGCAGAGGGGCCGCACGTGCAGAGCAGGTGACTAGCAGGCCGGGCTGAAGAGAGCACTAGAGGTTCAGGCCAGCACCACAATCTATATCAGCTATAAAGAGGAAAGAATTTTAGAGGAAGCAAAGCAAAGCGAAATCATTTCTCTTCCATTAGTCCTTAGCTCTCATGTATTATCATCACTTGCCTCATGCCAAAGGCCAAAACTAGAAAAGGCCAAATCAATTCTGCTGACACCTGCCGAAACGGGCAGTTGCCCACATGAACAGCCCCCACAGAGCCAGAGAACAGAAATCACAGGAGACAGTTACTGCAAGGGAGGTTATCAGCCACACTTCTCTTTTCTTCTTTTCTGTAAGTCAAAATACTAAATCATAGCATATGAGAATTTGAGATGGACACAGGTATATTTGCTAATTTGTTCAATTAATAAGAAAAGACCATTAAAAAAGTATAGTCTTAAAAGCCATCATAAAATGAGAGTGATTTTTCTACATCAATGGGAAAAAGACCAATGAAAATTATTCAAGAAGTAGTATCAGGAAAAGTGGGATTAGCTAACTACGTACAAAAACAAAGGAATAAATAAATAAATAAATCTGGGCTGCTATTCTATCTTGCACCAAAATAACTCCAGACAATGAAGCCATAAAAGAAATACTAAAAACATGAGAAAAAAATTTTATAATCTGAAATGGTAAAACCTTTTGAAGAAGAAAACCCTGAAGCCATAAAATACAAATCTGATCAATCCAACCAAGCAAAACTTAAAAATTTGCACATGGTAAATTACACAAAACCAAAACAAATGGTAACACATGATAGAAAAATGGCTAATTTCCTTAATAGAGTATTCACAAATCAAGAGGATAAGGACCAAAGTGCCCCAGAAGTATGAGCAGACAATCACAGGAAAAAAAAAAAAAAAGGCCTAAAATATACATTAAAATGCTAAACTACAAAGAAAATATATAAAGATAGGCCACAGGACACAGATTTTCACTTAGATTGTCAAAGAACAAAATGTTGGTTAGGATGTATAAGAAAATAAGAGCGATCATATTGCTATAGTATTAAGTTGGTAAAATCTATTTGGAGGGCAATTGTGCATCTACTCTCTCAATGTGTATACTCATTGATCTAGCAATTCTCTCAAGAATGCATTCTATAGATGTACATAGACATAATGATGTAGCTATAGAAAAGGACATTTCCCGGCAGCATGGTTTACAGCAGCAAGATTCCAAGTAGCCAAACTGACCGAAGTGAAGTCTGAAATAACTGGTACTCCAGACAATGCAGGACTGGTGCAGCCGTAAAAGGAATTACGCAGATCCAAGATTCATCATTTTAAAGAGAAATCAAGGTGAATAGTGTATGTTTTTATGGAAAACACAGGGTAGGGTGGATGAATATACTCAATGTACACCAGAACAGTGCTTCTCACTGTGTAATTCTGTACACCGGCCACAGCAGCACCTAGAACTGCTCAGAAATCCAAATTACTGGGGCCCACTCAGACCTACTAATGTGGAACCCCTGGGAGAAAAGTCTAGCAATCTGTGTTTTCAGATGCCTTCTAGGTAATTTTGATGCATGCTCAAGTTGAGGAACTGCTGGGCTGGAGTATCTTTCTTTCTTTCTTTCTTTCTTTTTTTTTAAAGATTTTATTTATTTATTTGACAGAGAGCGACACAGCGAGAGAGGGAACACAAGCAGGGGGAACGGGAGAGGGAGAAGCAGGCCTCCCGCGGAGCAGAGAGCTCGATGTGGGGCTCGATCCCAGGACCCTGAGATCATGACCTGAGCTGAAGGCAGACGCTTAATGACTGAGCCACCCAGGCGCCCCAGAAGTATCTTTCAAGATACCCAGAACACTGGTAACAGTTGTTACATCTGGGGCATGGAGAGAGATTTTTCACTTTGGTGTCTTTGGATTTGCCCACCATACATATGTATCACCTATTTTATTTTTTTAAAGATTTTATTTATTTATTTGACAGAGAGATAGCGAGAGAGGGAACACAAGCAGGGGGAGTGGGAGAGGGAGAAGCAGGCTTCCCACAGAGCAGGGAGCCCGATGCGGGGCCCGATCCCAGGACCCTGCGATCATGACCTGAGCCGAAGGCAGACGCTAACAACTGAGCCACCCAGGTGCCCCTGTATCACCTATTTTAAATAAAAAAATTATCAAAACCTGCCACTTTGATCCAAAATGTATAAGAAATGAGCTCAGTGTTTCTAAAAAACTGAATTATGAGTTCTGATTTATGGCATGACCCTTAAGAGAAAAAAACAATAGCCTACTTTAGACCAAGATTTCAATGTGGAAGATAAAGCATATCTAGAAA